TAAAGTATTTCTTATTTAATAGAGATAACAGGGAATATGGCACCAAAAGGGAGTTGGGGAGCGTTTGGGGAACATCTGTAACGGTCCCCGTTACAATTAGCACTAGTTATTCTTCGGTTTCTTTTTCACTTTTTTTCTTACCTATTATTAATCTTTTTTTTCTTACCGATTTTGTGCACGCGATTTCTCGAAAACGGCTCGATGGATTTTAATGAAACTTTCAGGACTTATGTAACATTACGTGAACTTGATTCATTTTTTTCCGTTTTGATGACGTCGCTTCCGGTCCGGAAATATTGTCGATTTTATGATTTTTGAAGGGTCAGGTTGTCCGCGAATGTTCTATAAAATGGCTACAGATAGAAACGTGAAAATTTCAGGTATGATAGTCCTAAGTCTGTAGATGTGCAAAATGTATTTCATTTTTATCGAAAGTGCCGCACGTCGGCGCTCGCTATGGCCCAAAAATTGTCCTATCTCGAATTTCCAAATTTTTAACACCTTTTCTACGATATCTTTTTACCTGGAAATATTTTGATAAAACATATAGAACAAAAGATGTGTAGAATTTTAAGATCTTTCACATGATATGTCGAAAAAAGGGCTGGCCCCTAAAATTAAGGGCCTAGAGGGACCGAAAGTTTTTTCTTTATATCTCAAAACGTATTGATAATTTGTAATACGGCAAAGAAGCAAAGTTGTTCAAAATGTTAGGCTTAATCTTTTTGCGTCGTCGAAATACGTCCAAAATCGTCACTTCCGGTCAAACCGGAAGTAGTCGGAAAACGTATTTTTGTCGTTCTTAACAATTTTGTGGGTAACATATGTCTCTGAGAGCAAAAATATTAATTTTCCGTCCGTCGTCGTCACTTCCGGTCAAACCGGAAGTATCAAGAAATGGCTATTTTTTGCATTTATTAACATAGCTTTAGATGATTCGAACAATTTTTGGGCGTTATTTCTCATTTTTGTTAAAAATAAAAGCTACTTCCGGTCTAACAGGACGGAAGACCTACTCGTTGCTTTGCAACGAGCTTTGCTCTAGTTAAGGTCTTCCGTTTCCAACGGAAGACCTTATTGCTTTCGTTCGGTTTCTTTTTCCCTATTATAATTATTTTTTCTTACCGATTTTTGTGCACGCGAGTTCTCGGAAACGGGTGGGTCGATTTTTATGAAACTTTCAGAACTGATAGACAGTGATCTGAACCTTATTGGAAATTTTTTATATGTACGTCGTCACTTCCGGTCGAGAGATATGGACGATTTACTGATTTTTAGCGGGTCAGCTTGTCCTGGTAACTCCTCCTAAACGACTTAAGATATTGAGTCAAAATTTTCAGTGAGAGTAGAGGAAGGTTCGCTGAGTTGCATAGGAGTTGCAAACTTTTCTAGCGTTAAAGACACCGGAGATCGGTGGGGCCCAAAAAATGTCTCAGAAACATCTCACAAGGTTTGACACCTTTTATTTCATATCTTTTTACCTGTTCATAATTTGTTTAAACATATTGGAGAAAAGTTGTGCATAATGTAAAGAGCATTTACATAATACCAAGAAAAAGGGGCTGACCCCTCAAATTAGGGTCTCAGAAGGGCAGAACGTCCTTTTGTGATATCTCTTTAATGAGCAATATTTTGTTATAAGTTACTGAAGCAAAAAAGTTTATCTTAACAATTTGCAACAATATATTGTAAAACTATGATCATAGGTTACGAAATTAGGAGCCATAAGAGGTCAATACTTAATCTTTCCATTCTTTATACCCCAAAAGGGAGAACTATTTTGATAAGGAGTATTGAATAAAAGATATTTAGAATCGTATTCTAAACAATAGACAACCATTCAACTTTCTGCATTTATAGTTTTTTTAATGTTATATAAATGAAAAAAAAAATTAATCACATAAAAGAAGTTTTGATATCATAATGTTTTAACAAAAATTTAAGTCAAAATCCTATCTCATCTTATCAAAAAATCGGACGGAAGACCTACTCGTTGCTCGCAACGAGATCTCATCTAGTTATTAAGTCTTCCGTTCACAACGGAAGACTTATAGTGTTTGTATTGTTTCTTTTTATTATTATTATTATTATTATTCCTCCCAAATTTTGTGAGCGCGATTACTCAGAGATGGCTGGATAGATTTTCACAAATTTTCTCATGTAAGTAGGTTGATATATGAAGTTTATATAAAATTCCTTTTTTTGAAAAATTCACTTCCGGTCCGAAGTTATGGCCGATTTTCGAATTTTAAAATGGACTTTTGTCCGGCAGTTTTCTCGGAAACGGTTTGAGGTAAAGATATGAAATTTACAGGAGTATCAGATCATAATATTCTATTTGTTTTGAAGTTGTTTTCGTGTGTTTCCAGTACTTCCTGTCCGAACCGGAAGTGAAATTGTTTTTGTTCAATTTTTTATTTTTTTGTTTTTAGATATTTTTTCGAGATATTCTTATGTAAAACAGACATTTTTCTACA